GAAGATAGACAGATCTATAAGATTAGGCAGAAAGAGGCTAAGCAAGTTATAAGAGCTCCCAAATCACACACAGAAGAGAAAATTGCCCAGTCAGTAAAAAAAGGGGACAAAACATTTTTTAGATACATAAATGAGAAAAAGGAAAGTAAAACAAGGATTAGTTAGATTAAAAACAAAAGAAGGAAGGTATGTAGAAGAGGATAAAGGTCTAGCTGACTGCCTCAATGAATATTTTTGTTCTGTATTTACAGATGCAAATGAAGGAAAGGGACCTCAGTTGAGAAAAAGGATAAATGAGTCATTTATTACACGTGAGTTTACAGAGGAAGAGGTTCTATTTCAACTGTCAAAAGTAAAGACAAATAAGTCAATGGGACCCGATGGAATACACCCAAAGCTATTAAAAGAGCTTAGTGGTTTACTAGCAAAACCATTAACAGATTTATTTAACCAATCATTGTTAACAGGAGTAGTCCCAGAAGATTGGAAGTTAGCGAATGTTGTGCCCATTTACAAGAAAGGTAATAGGGAGGAGTCGGCAACTATAGGCCAGTAAGCCTTACTTCAGTAGTGGGGAAAGTGATGGAAACCATGTTAAAGGATAGGATTGATGAACATCTAAAACCACATGGATTTCAAGATCAGAGACAACATGGGTTTACTTCAGGGAGATCATGCCAAACTAATCTTATTGATTTTTTGATTGGGTAACTAAAATAATAGATCAGGGTGGTGCAGTAGACATTGCTTACCTAGATTTTAGTAAGGCTTTTGACACTGTTGCACATAGAAGGCTTATCAATAAACTGCAATCTTTAAGTATGGATTCCAATATTGTTGAATGGGTAAGGCAGTGGCTGAGTGACAGGCAACAGAGGGTTGTAGTTAATGGAATATATTCGAAGCTTGGACTTGTCAAAGGTGGGGTACCTCAGGGATCTGTACTTGGACCCATTCTCTTTAACATTTTTATTAGTGATATTGCAGAAGGTCTTGATGGTAAGGTATGTCTTTTTGCTGATGGTACTAAGCTATGTAACAGGGTGGATTTTCCAGGAGGGAAAAGACAAATGGCAAATGATTTAGGTAAACTAGAAAAATGGTCAGAGCTGTGGCAGCTGACACTTAATGTGGATAAGTGCAAGATAATGCATTTTGGATGTAAAAACCCAAGGGCAGAGTACAGAATATTTGATAGTCCTAACCTCAACATCTGAGAAAATGGATTTAGGGGTAATTATTTCTGATGACTTAAAGGTAGGCAGACAATGTAATAGAGCAGCAGGAAATGCTAGCAGAATGCTAGGTTGTATAGGGAGAGGTAGTAGCAGTAGAAAGAGGGAAGTGCTCATGCCATTATACAGAACACTGGTGAGACCTCACTTGGAGTATTGTATGCAGTACTGGATATTGTATCTCCTGAAGGATATTGATACCTTAGAGAGAGTTCAGAGAAGGGCTACTAAACTGGTTCATGGATTGCGGGATAAAACTTACCAGGAAAGGTTAAAGGATCTTAACATGTATAGCTTGGAGGAAAGACGAGACAGGGGGGATATGATAGAAACATTTAAATATATAAAGGGAATCAACACAGTAAAGGGGGAGACTATATTTAAAAGAAAGAACTGCCACAACAAAAGGACATAGTCTTAAGTTAGAAGGACAAAGGTTTAAAAATAATATCAGGAAGTATTACTTTACTGAGAGGGTAGTGGATGCATGGAATAGCCTTCCAGCTGAAGTGGTAGAGGTTAACACAGTGAGGGAGTTTAAGCATGCGTGGGATAGGTATAGACTATCCTAGCCATAAGATAAGGCCAGGGACTAATGAAAGTATTTAGAAAATTGGGCAGACTAGATGGGCAAAATGGTTCTTATCTGTCGTCACATTCTAGGTAGTGTTTGGGAACTCTGCAGTGCCTGCTTGCAACCTGTGGACCATATTAGTCTGTGTGCATGTGCCCTGTGACATAACACGCAATGTTAGCCTTTGTGTGTTCATATGTACACTGGCATTTAACATGGCAATCTGTGTGTGTGCACCTATGTAGCCTTTAACATAATGCAGCATTCTCTGTGTGCATGCATCTGACCTAACACAGCAATGTCTGTGTGAGTGCATGTGTACAATGTGAACGAACACCGCAATGTCTGCGTGCAAATTTGTGTACTCTGAGCTAACACCAAGCTGTCTGTGTATATAGATTCCTGGAGCACCTTCGGCGGAGGAATACGAGGAGCAGGCTTGGGTCAATGCTCTACTGGGAAGAATATTTTGGGACTTTCTGGGAGAAAAATATTGGTCTGATCTGGTCTCTAAAAAAATCCAAATGAAACTCAGTAAAATCAAGGTACGAGCAATGTTAGTCTTTAAATTCTAGAATCCTGAAATTACATGAAATTCTGTGTCGCTTAGTTACCAGCTGTCATATTATTTTTAAAGAAAAACTTCAGAGTACAAATGATCCTTTTTATGCATTATAGAGATACTGTGCTCAGAATGAATACATAGACCTACTTTTAAAGCTTCCATCTGTGCACTATGTAGGGGGTCTAGCTGCAGCAGTAGGCAGACCCCTTCTACACCAGTAAGAAAGTCCCCAAAACTCCTGCTCACGGTTAACCGAATTCTAGAAATATTTTGGCAGTGTTGTCGTTTGCAGCTCAGCTCTCTCGGAAGCTAAGAGCTCAGCCCAAACTTTGTTTTCAGTATGGCGATGCCGCACGTAAAACTTGGATAAATGTGATGCAAGAGTTGGAGTTAAATCCTGGCAGGAAACTTGGGTAAAAAATGGTTAGAAAAGTTCCGCTTTATCGGAGGCTGCTTGCTGGTTTTGCTTCACAATTTTAATGACTGCAGTAAAAGCTAGATTAATATTTACATGTTTGTGTGCTGCAACTTTAATTGAGGAAAGTAAACCTTGCAGTCTTGGTATATGTAGTAAGAGTCAGCAGTTAAATCGTTTCCTGAGATAAGTGCAAAAAACTTAAGGAGACACTTGTTTCATTTAACTGGTTATAGTGCCTGGAGTCCTCTGTCCCTCCATTCAGTGTTTAAACCATTTTCGAGAAATTTAACACTAAGTAAATGAGGGTGCCCCACACACAGCTTCCTTTTAGCAATACCAATTCATACCTGTAGTGGGCGCTGTGATACGCTGAAATAGCTTATAAAAGATTAGATTTAAAATATTAAAAACCATGTAATACTGAATGGAAAGCCACAACAGGGATTCCATACACTAAAACCACTTTAATGAAATATGAGAGCATCTCTTTAATATTCCCGTGAAACTTGCACCTTCTTTTCCACCATCGAGCTAGCACTGCAGAACATGTGTATGATTGTTGTTCCAAACTTTGACTAGAGTTAGAAGGTGGCAGTATTGTAGTTTCTCAATAAGACAGAAGGAAGCCTGCTACAACTAATACGACTGTTATTGCACCATTACCTTCTAGCTGCCATACTTTATGAATGAGCTGACTCTAACGGAGCTGGACATGGGTGTGGCTGTGCCGAAAATCCTTCGGGCTTACCAGCCGTTCATTGATCATAGAGGTAATTTCCACTTGACCCTGTTTTTTTTATTTTCTCTGTCTCCTATTTAGTTTGCACCAGAGTTGGCAATGCTGCATTAAAGTGTAAAGTGAGATATTTGTGCACTTTTAGTGCAAATTTTGGGCAGGTGCACCAAAAGCATGGAGGGATGTTGCTCCAAACATGCCAGAAATGTCTCATACCTGCCTTCCATGTAGTTCTTACCCCAGTAATCACTTCAATAGCATTTACTGAAGGACTGAGGACAAGTGAAAGTTCCTTGACGTTTCAAAATTATTTGAACAAGAACCCAAGTTGATATGCTGCGGGTTTTATTTCAGTTTGTGATCCTTGCCACAAGAATTACTAGTCATCTATGAAGAACGAAGTTTGATTCACTGATGAAGATGAGGTGAAGACTAAACTCTTCTCCGATCTCAACTGGATCTAAACTCTCAACGCTATATTATCCTCTATCGAGAAACGTTCAGCAGCTCAACTGGATTTTAGTCCTCTTCCCTCTGCCAAGCCATCTTAAAGTCTATGGTTTGGTTGGGCAGAGGATTGTTCCTTAGCACCAAGCCATTTTTTCCAAAATCTATAGAATAAACTGCTAAGAAAGAATCAGGGCTCGAGTCCTGCAGGAACGCATGGGAACGGCGTTCCTGCACTTTTTCCATAGCAGGAACGCCGTTCCCGTTACCTGTCCTGCAGGACCGGCCCTGGTCCCTGCACTGAGGGCCAGCACACGCTGTGTTCCCTCTCCAGCTATAACTCTCGCGAGACCCGCGGCTGTTACCATGGCAACGCTCCGCACAGGCGAGTCTCGCGAGAGTTAAAGCTGGAGAGGGAACACAGCGTGTCATGGCCCCTCTGTGCAGCGGCTGGTTCCCTCCAGCATACCACCGGACCACCAGGCGATCTCCCCCCTCCCTGACAAGGTAAGAAGCAGGGAGGGGGGAATAAAATAAAAATATATACATAAAGTAAGAAAAAAATGCTTCCCTCTCCCCCCCCACACATCATCCAGCACTCACACACCCATCATCCAGCACTCACACACCCATCATCCAGCACTCACACAAACACACATCATCCAGCACACACACAAACACCCATCATCCAGCACTCACACACACACCCATCATCCAGCACTCACACCCATCATCAACACACACACACCCATCATCCAGCACTCACACACACCATCCAGCACTCACACACGCACACATCATCCATCACTCACACACGCACACCCATCATCCAGTACTCACACACCCATCATCCAGTACTCACACACCCATCATCCAGCACTCACACACCCATCATCCAGCACTCACACACACACCATCCAGCACTCACACACACATCATCCAGCACACACACACACATCATCCAGCACTCACACACACATCATCCAGCACTCACACACACATCATCCAGCACACACACACCCATCATTCAGCACTCACACACCCATCATTCAGCACTCACACACATCATCCAGCACTCACACACACACATCATCCAGCACTCACACACCCATCATCCAGCACTCACACACACATCATCCACACCCATCATTCAGCACTCACACACCCATCATCCAGAACACACACACACATCATCCAGCACACACACACACATCATCCAGCACTCACACACCCATCATCCAGCACTCACACACATCATCCAGCACTCACACACACATCATCCAGCACACACACACACACATCATCCAGCACACACACACACACATCATCCAGCACTCACACACACGTCATCCAGCGCGCACACACACATCATCCAGCACACGCTGCATTCATTATACACACTACATTCACTATACACACTCTGCATTCACTACAAACACACTACATACACTGCATTCATTGTACACACTCTGCACTCACTACAAACACTAAATTCATTATACACAATTTGCACTTACTACAAACACACTACATTCATTATACACACTCTGCATTCATTATACACACTCTGCACTCACTACAAATACACTACATTCACTATACACCCTCTGCATTCACTATACACACTCTGTATTCATTATACACACTACATTCACTATACACACTCTGCATTCACTACAAACACACTACATACACTGCATTCATTGTACACACTCTGCACTCACTACAAACACTAAATTCATTATACACAATTTGCACTTACTACAAACACACTACATTCATTATACACACTCTGCACTCACTACAAAAACACTACATTCACTATACACACTGCATTCACTATACACACTGCACTCACTACAAACACACTACATTTATTATACACACTGCACTCACTACAAATACACTACATTTGTTATACTCACTACACTCACAAATACACTACATTCATTATACACACTCTGCACTCACTTAAAACACACTGCATTCATTATACACACTCTGCACTCACTACAAATACACAACAATTATTATTCACACTGTATTCACTACAAACACACTACATTCATTATACACACCCTGCACTGCACTATATGCATAGGAGTGTAATTTTTTTTTTTTTAAGGGGGTGGGGGTGGGGGGGGGGAGGCGGGAATCTTGGGTGAGTTCCCACACCTTTTTCCCCAGGACTTGACCCCTGCTAATATTGCAAGGTATGTAGTTGTCCAACATAGGACCTATCATATGTTATGTTTCATTACCATCCTCACTTCATACATAGATCAACAAATCAACTGGCCAACAGGTTTCAAATATCGTCCAATAGTTAAGATTAAGTTAATTAACGTTTCCACAATGTCAACACCCATCCTCACGCGGAGCTACCTGCTCATTGGCCCAAATCATAGTTAGAGCAGTCTGGGTTATAGTCATGGCCTCACTAGTCATGGCCACTCATAATGATCCTCTTACAAGTCACCAAGAGGCCAACATTCCCACCACATTAGAGAGTAGGGAGGTAGGTTAGCACCAATTTTTTTATCTTTTATTACCTGTTCCTGGCATTTTAATAATCCTAAAGTGGGGATTATACCACCCACGCTATCATTTGAGTGCAGTCAGGCCTGCACTCCATTTGTGAGTATATTTTATTTTATTCTAATCTATCTCTACATCATGTCATCAGAGAGCACTATTGGTTGTTTATATTTTTTTCCCTGAGAATTGGATACCATCACCCTTCGGAGGACAAGCATCCACACATCCTACAAGCGGGGATTAATACGCTGTATGCCTGTTACACCTGAGCTGGCCATAGCTCATTCGAATGTGAGTGTATTATTTATATTTTAATTCATTGATATTTATCTTATACACTCTACACGATTGGTCCTTTCTCATTGTGTCTTTTATATCACGAGATGATCTACTACAAACAGAGAAGATATTCTACCAGCTGAAACAGCTACTAAGACTATACAATCTTTGATACAATTGGGACTGTTTTATACACATATATATTTTTATTTATATTTTTTTATATTTATTTTTTATATATACATTTTATATATTATATATTATAAACTATATGTTTGTGTATTTTTTAATATTTATTATTTCTCTTGGCGCAGCCTTTCCTTGCTTTTGTTGTACATCCCCACCACATTGTTCGGTGTCTAAGCCCCATGGCCAAAATACCTCTCAGAGCTGGTAATTAATATATGTAATAATTCTAGGTGTCTCTCAGCCATTATAATGCCCCTTGCTGATATTTGCTGTATTTTCTGTCCTTTGAAAACATACGTCTCTCTACCTATCTTACATTTAAGTGTACAGTATTAAAATTTCCTTGTTGAATAGTGTATTTACTTAACATAGCCATACAATATTATAACATTTACCCCATTACCCCATTGAGGGAGTATATAATACTGGTTTGCTTCATAATTGTTTAGGGATTTTATTTATTTCGCCAGAGGTTGTAGATGTGGCTATACTGTATAATACTTAATATTAGTTACTTTATGTGAATTGCCATGCCTCTTTTTGACCAGTAATCATGATAGGTGCTGCGGTTCCCAAGGACACCGTAGGACCGAATGCGTCACGTAGGAACAAAGTGACGGCTTGTGGACACACCACACGAGGAATCAACATGAACGCCAGCCTATTTAAAGAGATTCAGTTTTTTACACACCAGGGACATTGAAGGGATGCAATATCTCGAGCGCACAGCCCTGGATCAGCCTGTTAATTGTTCCCTGCTTCAAGTGAAGTCTAGACCGCTTTAGACTTAAATTCAGCTGGAACGGAGGAGAGCTTCACTGCTTACTATTACTCTGCAATAGAACACTGTCACAAATGCTGGATACCTGCTTCTCCAGTGCAAAATGAGGGAGATCGGATGGATACCTTAGTAAAGACTCTTTTTTTATATGTACTTTATAACTGGTTATGTTTTTCAATTTTTTTATTGTTTTTTTTTTGTTTGTTTTTTCATTCTTTTTTTCAACATTTTTTGATGTATATACTTATTTTTTTTGGAAGTTGCAGGATACCAACATAATATTTTGCTATCATTAACCACTTGTCTTATCTGGCTGAAAAACAAACTTTTAATACTGAAAGACTTCAGTTGCAACTTCTTGTTCCCTGAGATACACAGTACTTTTCATCTCAGGGATGACAACAGGCTGTTATATTCTTTATTAATCAATAATTAATTTTATGTATATTCCAAACATATATGCAGTGGTACTTTAGACAATTGGCACCTTTTAACTGATTATGCACTTTCACTTGGTGGATAGAATACTGAGCTATTTTTCACATATTTATTTGTTAATGTGTTACATACATTTCCATTAGTCATGCATACCTTCTGACTTGACCAATAATGGCTATGTTATATGAATAAATCTGACTCTATTTTGCATTAATATTTTGTTGAGTGAGGTATAATTTGGTAATTATTTTTATGACTAGAAATTTGGTGCCAAAATTAACACTGTTCTCTCGCTCTAACTTACAGGTATTCATCCAAGTACATCCCACAACAATGAGACCTACTTTCAAAACTCCAACTTTCCATCACATGATCCTGGATTAACCCTTTATGGCACCTGGAAGATCATTAGCACAAGCTGCCCTATCAGCTAATACAAGGCATGCATACAAATGTGCTCTTACTATTTTCAACAATTCCATCACTATCGATACTATAGTGGCATTCACTTTTTTTTTAAACTTATTATAAAATTATCATACAATACCATTAGATTATATCTCACAGGTATATAACATCATTTATTGAGCACATTTCCCAGACACAAACAGCAGCCTATTGATGGCCCCAAATTCAGGGCACTATCAGATCTATTGGACACCAGTCTGTTCAAAACCCAGATAAACTCAATAATTAAGACAGCTATATATATATATAACTTCCTATGGTTCTTAGGGCCTAACATATTCATCATAGAAATCTTCTGTAGCATCTCAATGTCTCACAAATCACATAAAATTAATATATACCTCAACACGAGAGAGAATTGAGACAATGTTCAAAGATTTGGCTATGTAATG